CCTCTTATAAAATTTATACTTTTCTGAGAGAGAGATAGAAAAATGTAAAATTAATAAACTTCTTAAATCTTAATTGTTAGTAAAGCTTTGATTACTGTTTGTAAAATTAATAAACTTGCACTACTTAAATTGACATTATTTATACATAAATCTAATGTAAATTTAATTCTATACATATTATTACAAAATATAAAATTTGTTGGAGTGTTCTGAGCATCCCATCTACCTACTTAAAAGTTCAACGTATAAATATTATTAGGCACCAAGATCTACCCTTGATTTGACCTTTTTTTACTTATTTAATTCATACATTCATAGTTTGAGCTTTGACGTATAACACGATATATGTCCCCACGATACCGGTTTCTTTCACGTCTTATTTGGAGCAAGTGTATTTAATTTTAAAGTTAGATCGCGTGAATAAGAGATAATACTATTCTTTTCGTATAATACACGAGTTATCGTGAGTAATAATTCGCATCTTTCCAAAAGAGTCCTTTCAAGAAGACCGCGCTACTTCCTAACAATATATTTTGTACACGGACGCATTTCTCTATGCACGTACGAAGCACCTTCACTCCGACCAATTTCTATAGTGCATATAACATCACGGTGAAAGCCGCTGGCCTTTTGTTTTCGTCGATTAAGAACGCCCACTGCTATTTAGATCACCACAATGTACGCAGCTACATCATACACGTTTCGCCGTAGTCTGCTCGTTCGAGATATCTTGTAATATCTCATAAATTTATACTCGTAGTGTCAGTCGGTCTCTAGCGAGACGGACTTTGCCGCTTCATAAAAGCAAATTAATTCCAATAAACCACATTTTAAATGAGACGTACCTTCAAGCGTACCTTGAAATTAAATCATATACACCGCTTCAATTTAAATACAACACGAGAGATTATTACAAAGCGGATACTATGTATGAGGTATGCTATAATATCTCGCGGAAAACAATCAGATTTGATTTCGCAAGTATTTTGTTTATGATAAATTAGTATACTACGCATAACAAAAGTAATCACTTTTAGGGAATTAATTGAATTCCACGTTGGAAATACGATTGATAGTCTCTTTGAAGAGCACGCGTTCTGTGTTTTAATAGATCAATAAAAAGCGCTTTGTGCAGTGAATCGTTAAAGACGTTTTCCCATTCCTCTCGTCGCCTTGAATAAAGAAGGCAACAGGTTTGACTCCCCGCATCTTTAACATTCATGAAACCTTTGGATCTTTTCTTACGTGACATTTTCGTGACGTAATGTCTATTGATGCCGGTTACATAAAATGGATGGAAGTAAAAGCTCCCTGTAAAAGCGCTTTTTTTTATATCTTTCGTACACGGGAATGCAATTTAATTTTGTTATTAATGCTTGTCAGCAAAACAATTTGTAGTTTCGCAAAAAAAGATCAATAGTTTTGCAAAAAATGATCAATTACTTTTTAACAACGTTAATTTAATTTAACATTAATTTAACATGAGAATACTGATAGAATAAAACCATATAGTTAGAATCATTAAACGAAAAATGTATTTTTAAATTTTTAACTATAAAAATTAATTATATTATACTCATAAATAAATAAGTGCGATATGTTTCGATAGCATCCAACTGTATAAGCATCTAACTATATAAGCAAAATATATATGCTATTTATTTTATTTTTATACCATCTGGGAATAAGATGTAGATATATCACTCAGCACAAACTTTGATATTAGATGGACGATAAAACGAAACACAGATTTCTAAAGGAATCTGTGACATATAGGAACATATTTACAAAGAGGATAAACAGAGGCAAGATTCCACTTTTAGAAATGAAAATGAAAAGGAAGTGTTTGCTGAACGGCTTACGAAGTTGAGGATTTTCAGTAAGCAGAAACTTCGCTCCTTATACAAATTTACAGTGTGATATTAAGAAAGTTCAGTCATATAGGACTTGGTTTAACAGCCAAATCTCGTCTTGCGGTTCACCGTTCTGTTTGACAATACACACACACGCGAACAATCTGTCGCGATAATAACAAAATAATTTATTCCTACTTTATGCATTCAAAAATTATTAAAATTTACAGAATTATCTGTGTGTAGCGCGTACAAGTTAATCTAAAAACCAATAAATTCAATTTTAAGAATCAAAATCACAATAGTCAATTATAAAAATATTTAATATAAAATAGCAAAAATGCTTTTAAAACAAATTTTCCAATTTCTCGAGGGATCAAACTGTAATTTCTTCATTAAATTGGAACTACATTCTGATATTAAGATTTAGACATTTATTGAAATCGGCAGTAAATATTTCCTTTGATCATTGACCCACTTTTAGCAGGGAGGACATTTTTCATTCAAGGGGCTCTCGGCTTTCCCTAGTTACGCATCATGCGTGATCGAAGAAGAACAAGTACTCTCTTTCTTTTCTTCTTTCTATCTCTCTCTCTTCTCTCTCTGTACACGAAAAACTGATAGTCTTTGATCGCACGTAATCTGGCGTAATTAAAATATAAGTAGATATAGAGCCAAGCATACAAAGGATCGAGGTATTAATCTAGAAAGATTTTTCTGATATTTTATCTGATAAGATAAAATCGAGCAATCCATAAAGTTGTTTGTCATATTAAATTGTCATTCATCATTATCATAAAAGCAAAATCTAAAATAAGGACACAAAGAGTACTTTGTATCTTAAGATATATTCCATAAATATTCCATGTTACAAAAATAATTATTTTATATAATTTTTTGTTATTTAAAAAATGTAATTTATTTTCAAGTACTCGTAAAAATGCTATACACGCGGCTTTTAAAATCGTTTGGCGAGCGAATACAATACATTCGAACATACGAAAAAAGCTCTCACTGAAAAAGAATTTTTGTTTTTGAAGTGGCTCTGACGCTTTAAAACCAATTACGAAGGATGGGGAACCAATAAAGGAAGCCGTTTCGTAACCGCAATCGATAGATCGGTAATTTTTAGGTGGATTTTAAATATACGCGGCATATATGGCGTATATTCCAAATTGTAATCCGCTCGATCAACTGATTCTCTTTGTCGGATCTGCAAAGCTCTTTAAAAGCATCAACGGCAGGACAGCTGTGCTGAATGTTAGCTTACTCCCAACGGTGCATCTTTGAATTTTCTATGTTCGAACGAGAACGTTCCCGATAAATCATATCTCATGGATTGTCCAAAAGTGCAAGCACTATCCCGAGGAATCGGAATTCGGTATTATTCGAGATTCTATCCGATATTTTGGATGCACGAAAAGAAATGGGCGTGTTCGCTCTTCCATGTTCTTCCTTTCGACTATCGTTCGTTATAAACGATATACATACGCGCTTGTAAACGATATACATACTCGCCATCTGGTTCGTAAACTTTGTATACGGAAAATGACGGGTATAACAATACAGTTGGCTGCATGTAAAAATTTGATAAAATATCAGATAACATTGGAAATGTGAGTGACAAAAGAGGAAAATGTTTTATAAAACGCTCAATACATAAAACGACAACCGTTATTCGTTACGCCTTTTTTTTTATTCTAACAGGCTCTACAGCTCCTCGCCCTAAGAAGCTGAAAGATAAGAAATTTTAGAATTATGTAAATAATGTGGGGTAATAACACAATGTTTTTACGGGCACCGTCCCATGAAATTACGCGACGTTTTATCTGCGTTCCAGTCAAACAAGCACAAAAATCGTATGCGCTCAATATTCTTTTTCGTAATATATTTTTAAATCCTTTTCATGATATTTTTTTTTCTGAGAAAAACGCAATCTCGACATATCTTAAATATTTGACCGTCATCGCTCGCGTGAACTTTGGTAGCAAGGATTTAATTGTTGTGGAATTAATCGTTAAGGAATTTCTCAAAACTTGGATATATCTATACACCGCGAAGGTGACGCGAGATTGCAATTTTGCAAGTGCATACCCCAAGTGCCTGCCAAACATTCCTTTATCCAAATACGTTGTAAACACGTTATACGCTCAAAGTAATCACTGGTTTATTTCATCAAACTCGGCTGAAAGGTCAGTTCAACAAAAGGAAATGCACATTGATTAAATTGAATGTTTCGCACCACTAAGCTGCATTAATAAGCATATCATTGCTTGAACTGGAAATTATAAAATTCACGCAAAAAATATTATTAAATATTAAGAACCACCTCGATCATCGAATATGGCCTTCTTTGCTTAATGGTGTTGAACATTTCTCGATCCATTTTCACTTAATATTTTATTGTTTCAATTTTCCGATTTGATCGAAACAAACAATCGCATCACGTTGCTCCAAAAATTTTAATGCAAAATAAAATATATGTAATATATGAACTCATAATATTTCTCATTAAATATGAATTTAAATGTTTTACTGTATTCCGAAATCAATAATATAAGCAACATAAGATAATAACTCAATTTTTTATACAGATTACATAAAAACCGTGTTCCATAAAATAGCTTTATTGTAAGAGTCAAAATGATAAAATAATGTTCATAATAAATTTTATCGAGAAAACAAAATTCGAACCTAAATTCTAAGAAACAAAATTAAGAAAAGCAAAATTAACAAAAAATAAATCATTATCAAAATATTTATTAATTATCTTTACGTAAATTTCGCTTTACCTGTGCCGGGATTAAAGAGATATTATGAACACTTATCTTTATGATATTCTTTGTAGCAAATATTAAAAACTACTTTAGCTAAATAATTTTTTGAAGAAAAATCATTCAATATCAAAAAGTATGTAGTTAAAAAAGAACGACAAGTCTAAGTATATATATCTCTGTATTGCAATTTCAAATATTCTCAATCGATTTGACAAACTCTGTAATGTATACGAACTGTTTTATATTATCTATTCAAACGTTTATTTAAATAAAATAGAGAACAGTTTTATATTTTCAAGTCCGGCGCTACAGAGACGAACTATTCGTGTCGCGGGGAGAAGAAAAGACAAATTAGCGAGGGATCACTCACCGCAGGCTGGCGAATCTCGTTGACAATGGAGATGTAGAGGAACAAGCTCACGAGATAACTTCTAGTGAACCCCATCATCTTCTCAGAGGTGACGATCAGCCTCTCCGTCGCGACGCGGATTTCCAAATGTGAATAACGCTCTTCAGAATGTGTTGCCTCTTATATAGGGGTGCACTTCAGCCGGCGCAGGCGTTCTCCACCCCCGAGAGTTCTCCTCGCCCCATAACGCACCCACATGCGACATATGTACGTGCATACGTACGCGATGGTCGTTCGTCCTTGTTATTTTTTCTTTTTTTGTTGCTTCTCCTTCTTCACGACACAGAGCATGGCCTAAAGGTGAAACAAGCCACGAATTCTTCGCAAGGGAGGAAAAAAGAAGAAACGTGGTAGCAAGAGGGCATTTTTCGGGAATGTAACGCGACTAATATTTGCGTTTATTGCGCCTCGATGGGGAAGAGTGTTTGATCGTGGCGTTACACAATGTAGCGAAGTAGTGCTTTTTATTGGAAAGTTACTACTCAATTGCTATCTTCTTCCAGATGTATTGCAAAAAAGAATAAAATAAAAAGGCACTACGATAAAAAGATAAATTGTTACAATATCCATAATTGCGCAATTTACGTTACTCGAAATTGATCGTTGAAAGCGATATGATTTCCAATACAACCGTCAACAGCCGCGACAAAATAATCTCAAAGAGAATTATACATACACTGAAAAAAAAA